CTAAAAACCAAAGGGAAGACTCCATGGAAGTAACCAAGTGTAACCAGAACATGAAAGGTGCCCAGTGAATCTCAGTGCTGGGTCTGGCTGTGCTTGGAGGCACCAGTCTATGCCCTTCCCTTCCACTCAGTAGCTTCTGCTCAATTAGAGGGCCTGACCTCTTCCTCAGGTCTCTAAAACCAAGAGAGGTAGTTTCTGATCCCTCTTAGTATGAGAGGCTATCTCAGCCGAAGAACATGACTTTAATAAGTGAAGATGTGTGAGCTCCTGCCCACCCTGTTCCATCTCCAATGACAAAGATAAAGATGTGGTGCTTTTGGTAGCAGTATCAGGCCCTGAGCTTTTAGAGCTGCCTTTCTCTGATGAGCTGCAGGCCCCCTGGCAGGGGTATTCACTGTGGGAATCAGGCATTGGATGGGTTGGAACATAGCTTCCTGTTGCTATGGTCACCATCACTATGGTCACCATTTACAGAACATTAATGCAACACAATGGTGCTGTGAAATGGGTTCTGTTTCTATCTCCATTTTTAGCCATACAGCTATATATGTGTCAAAACCAGGATTCAAAGTTTATGCTCCTAACCACTAGAGACTCAAGGTTTCCAGTTTGACCACAGTTCTCCAAAGGCGTTCCTAAGAGTTAGTGGGAGCAGTGGTTGCACGACAGGAAAGCTAGTGGTTTATGGTAACAAATGTAGCCCCCTCTAGCTCCCTGCCTGAGGCCCAGACATACATAATCGATTGACGAAAAGCCTAAGCTTTCTTGAGGGGAGGTCGTATTGAATGCTATCCACCAGAACTCTTGTAGGTAGTACATAACATGACCATAAAGCAAATCAGTACCTTTAATGTATTTCAGGTTTTCAGTAATACTGAATGAGAATCCATGCTGAAATTCCTTCCATATTTGGGGGTGGGTAGGTGGAATTACATTGCTGTGGTTTTGCAGGGAATACTTTGTTATGCATAGGAGCCAGTTTAAGGAAAGGAAGACATTTCCAAGGACATATGTACTATTTTATCAGTGGATAATTGTAAACAACAGGGTCTCACAGGGATTGGCTCTGGTAGGATCTTTACTCATATTTTTTTAGTTAAAAATCTGCAAAGGAAGTGCATAGTGAAAATCCCAAAGCTGCAAGAACTTTTGAATAATGAGAAGTTAAATTAATTGAATGCATATATTTTTGCTTGGGTTTCTTCATTTACTAATGCTGCTGCAACAAAAATACCACAGGGTTGGAGACCAGGAGTCCAGATTTAGGGCAATCGCAGGAGTGGCTTAGTGCTAAGGAGTTATGCTGTCAACCCAAAGGCAGGATGTTTGAATCCACCAGCTGCTCTTTGGGAGAAAGATAGGTAATCCCCTCCCGTGCCATCTACAGCCTCTGGAAACCCGCGGAAGGGTCAGCTTTGAGTGAGTTTTGACACATAACAGCATTGGTATTTTCTCTCTCTCTCAACAAGGGAGTAGATTCTGATCTCAGAGCTTGCCCTCGCTCTCTCTCTCTCGCTCTCTCTCTCTCTCTCTCTCTCTCTCTCCCTCCCTCCCCCCAAGGGAGTAGATTCTGTCTCAGAACGTGATCTCTCTCTCTGTCTCTCCTCCCTCCTCCCAAGGGTTGAAATATATCTCTCTCTCTCTGAATAAGGGAGTAGATACTGGTCTCAGCTTCCACAGCCTGAGCATTGGCTTGTAAATGGATCCTCACGTTCCATTTGTGTGTGTTTGTGGTTTTTTTTTGTTTTGTTTTTTTTTTTTTATAAAACGCCACTCATAAAGGACCAAGTTTGTGGTGTGTTTTTTTTTAAAAAAAAAAAAAGATCAGGTTTAGTGTCCATCCTACATCCTTATGGCTTCATTAATGTAACAAAAGAAAATCCTATTTCCCATTAGAGTTGTACGCATGGGCACAGGGGTTTGGACATCAACTTAAATTGGAGAACACAATTCTCAAACAATTGTTAGTGATCAGATTTTGGTAGCCTGTTTGCCACAGTGACGTTTAATACTTGTCTATTTTGTGCCCATTACATGCCAAGTACCTGGGCATAGGTACCCATTACATGGCAAGTACCCTGGGCATATCCTTCCTATTGTTGATTCACTGTACAAGAGTCACGGGTAACTTGGCAGTACATAACAACAACAGCATAAACAAGTGGGACCATATGGCCCTTCTGCTTGCTTGCTTGACTTACTGAGGCATTTTAGAAATTGTTACATAAAGATCTGATGCTGTTGTGCACAGTTGAGTCAGAACCAACTCGTAGCTGACCCTCCTCCAGCAGGTTTTCAGGCGCAGTCATTTGCATGGGAGGAAATTGTCTATCCTTCTCTTATGGACCAGTTGGTAGATTCGAACCATATGCCTTTGGGAATGCAGCACAGCTTTTACTACGAGGCCACTAAAGCTTCAGAAAAAGTTTAGCTCATCCTTTTAAATCCTGCACAACAGTATTTCCCCATGAAATGACTGAACCGTGATTGAATTAACCAGTCCCTACTTAAAAGACATTTCTGTTACTTTCAGATTACAAAAAATATATAACAATAAGCTTTAAACATCCTTGCATTCATGGATTTGCTCCCATCTCAGGGTAGAACACGCCCCTCTCCAGGGCCTTCTTGACCCCATCTCATCCCTCCCCACCGTGTTTTCTTACAGTACTGTTTTGAAGACATGCCTGGAGCTTCTGCCTATATTTTCTACAGAGCTACCTGGGTGACATCTGTGTGTAAGAAGGGGAAGGCAGCTAAGACAAGGAGAGTCTTGTGATTGGTTTACAGCCTCATGGACTTTCATGCTTTCATGGGCTCTGGGGTCACTTGGACCGAATGTCTGCTGCCTGGCTCAGGCCCTTATCCAAGACAGTCATCCAAACCCTCGGAGCGTCTGTCATCTCATCTGGGAAGACAGCGATGGGGCCATAGCTGACGTTTTAGGGTTGATATAAAAGTAGCAGGAATGAAAGTACTGCCTCCCACTTTTGAGACGAATCCTCCTCATTTCCCAGCTGCTGCACCTCAGAAGCCAACGGAGGCCGTGGGCGGAGCTGCAGCTGCTGAGCCGTGATGGGGACACAGGGAGGAGTCACTGGTGGCTCTTTTGGAAGGTGCCAGGCAGTGTGATCACCTTGGACATTTTGGATAAACTGTAGTCAAGACTTCAGTGATTTCTCAGTTATGTTGGGGGTGTCAGATTTTGTTTCATTTCGGAAGCCCTGGTGGGCACACAGCCTACAATATGGAGGTGACTGGTACATGCCAAGATGCATCGGTGTCACCAAGCTATTCCCGTCCCTGTCATCCTTCAGATGGGGCTGTGGGGAGTCTGAGGTTCAGTGGGATTGATGGTGCCAGGAGCTTCCTGAATGGCGAGCTTTAGCCTCACAGGTGCAGGCTGGGGACCGGTGTCAAGGCTGGGGGTTCAACAGGGCCTTGCAGTGGTAAGGTTGTGATCACCTTGAACCAAACAATGTCCTCTCTATCCTTCTAGTATTGGCCAAGGGTCACCGAACCTGCACCAGTGACACCAGCCACTTGTCAGTGCTCGCTCCCTGTTCCCTGGGATTCAGGCCGGGACTTCTCCACTGGACACATGCTGTGGAACCCGGTGTGTTAGATCATGTCCACCATGATGGTTGCCTCCATTCACAAAGAAAGAAAACACTGGACATTTGCTTCTGCAAATAATTACTGCAAATGATTCTGTAAAAGATTTCAGCCAAGAAGGCCCTGGAGAGGATCGTGTTCTACTCTGTAACAACACACTGGGTGTTTGTTCACTGGAGCTAATTTGACGGTGGTGGGTCTGGTTTTTCTGTTGTTCATTCCTACCTGCTGCCTCCTGGGAGGAGCCGCTGAGATCACAAGCACTGGTCTCATGTGCACAATTCTTGGCTGTCATCTTTACAGAAGCAAATTGCCAGGCCTTTCTTCTGAGGGACCATTGGATGCTTTCACTGAATGATGGTTCTTGTCTTCCTTCCCCAGCCTGACAGCTGTGGGTCCCCACGCTTGCTCCTGGGATGCAGGGCCACATCCAGTACCCATTCTCTTTTCTGCCACAGGGATGAACGGATTCTCTTCCTTCCTCCAGCCAGCTAGGCAGAGCTGTCAGCCATAAGAAGGTATCTGGGCTCCAGTGAGCCTAATGCCAGTCTCCTCCTCCCCTCAGTTCAGAGCTGTCTGCTTTGTGGTCAGGAGATCCTAGAACAGACTTGAAGAGCCACAAGGTGGATGCTGGGCTTGTGTGCCTGCATGGACTTCCCTGTCCAGTCATTAGGTCTGCTGGAAAGTGGACTCTACCTTTCCTGTGCAGGCTCAACGTCCTGTAGCTCACTGTTACTGTTGTAAGGTGTCATCGAGTCGACTGACCAAGAGCGACCCTGTGAACAGCAAATTGGAACCTGCCCTAACCTGCGCCATGTTTACCATCTCTGATATCCTCGAGCCCATTGTTAGTCAGTGTGTTAATCCATCTCGTTGAGAGTCTTCTTCAGACAATGAGTGAGAATGACAGAAGAATAAATGCCTTTGAATTGTGGTGCTAGGGAAGAGTGCTGTGTGTCCATGGGTTGCCAAAAGAACAAGCAAGTCTGTCTTGGAGGAAGCACAGGCCATTGGCACTTGTTATTAAGTCTGTCTGCTCCACGTTGTAAACGTCTCTTGAGCCTGTGTGCTCCTTCCCTGAGTGTGTCTGAGGGATCGAGGCAGACAAGTTGTGTGCCTTTGACGTGCGTGTGAGAGTGAGGAAGCCGGGCCTTGCTGTGCGTGGGAGTGAGATGTGCTAGTAGTGAGTGATCTTTGAGGCTGACGCTAGTTCAGGGCCCAGCAGAAAGGGAGCCTGTGCGGTGAGGATGGGGATAAAGTGGGCTTTGCCCCACCAGGGCTGCAGAATTGAATTCCATGGTCATGCACAGACCGTGAGGTCTGCTTCTTGGCCCAGAAGCCCGTGAGATGTACTGACCAAGCTTCTCCCCATCCCCTCACCCCAGGAGTGCATCATTGATGAGGACTGTGGACCAGGCAGGTACTGTCAGTTTGCCAGCTTCGAGTACACCTGCCAGCAGTGCCGGGACCAGCAGACAGTGAGTGTGCCCAGAGGTTTTAGGGGACACAGCACCAAGTAAATGGGAGGCCAGGCAGGGTGAGGTGGGAGAGGAGAGGCCAGAGGACCCAAAGTGACTCTACCAGGCTTGTTGGAAGCCTTCTTCGGGTCTCAGCAGGTCCACACTTGGAAAAGCCTCTTAGGGATGAGAGGGGTACTGAGAAGGCCAGTCCAGCGTCTGGGGTTGCTGGAGGTGGGGCGCTGTCTACAGGCTTACAGACATCTCAGATCACTGGCCACACTGATGGGGTACAGAAAGGGAAAGGAGGATGGGGAGAAAGGGAAAGGAGGGGAGAGGAGGGAAAGAGAGGCAAAGAGGAAGGAGGGGGAGAGGGGGGAGGAATGAGAGAAGTGGGAGGGAAGGAGCGGAGGGAGGGGAGCTGGGGGCCTGCACTGTCCCTATTCTTTAAGAAAATTATCCTAGAAGACAGAGTGGGGGAAATGGTGGCCCCTGTCCAGGTTCTGTCTCCTCCACCCTCTGGCCCCTCCAGTACCTTTAATTTAAGGAAGGCTTGATTCTTAATGGCCAGTCTCTAATCTACCCACAGGACTTGCACTCTGAACAAACCCAGCAGCTGGGGTGCTTGGTGAAGTCCTCACTTTCCTCTGCTGTACACTGGGGGATCCAGGCTCTACAATGGGAATATTCAAGCTCTACAATTGGGACATCGGGGCTTTATACAGGGGAAGATGCAGGCTCTGCATCGAGAGGGGTCCAGGCTTTATGCTGAGAGCATTCGGGCTTTACATTGTGGGAAGGAGTTCAGCCTCTACACCAAGAGGATTCAGGATCTACACTGGGGGCTCCAGGCTTTATACACTGGGAGGATTCAGGCTCTATATTTGGGGCATCCAGGCTTGAAACTGGGAGGACACTCCACTGCCTGAGGCAAGGAGGACTTGGGCTCTCAGCCAAGCTCCCCAACCCTGCTTTTCCGCCTCCCACAGCCCTGCACCCGGGACAGTGAGTGCTGCGGGGGCCAGCTGTGCGTCTGGGGTCACTGCTCCAAAGTGGCCACCAGAGGTGGCAACGGAACCATCTGTGACAACCAGAGGGACTGCCAACCTGGGCTGTGCTGTGCCTTCCAGCGAGGTGGGTCTTCTCCCCTCAGGTCCAGGGCAATCCCTTCCCTGAGCTCCACCACAACTGTACAACCACACCTTCCCAGGGTCCTGCCTCCTGGGGGCTCCTAGAGGCTCCCAGAGAATGTCCCGAGCCCCAGGAGCTCTGCCTGGGAGGCAGTCCCCGTCCTGGGAGAGAGCAGAGTTCCCTGTTTGCCTTATTTCTGCCTAGCCCATTGCCTCTGAGTCAATACTGTTAGTGAGCTATGATGCTGTGATCCTCGCAGGATGCCTGAGCCCAGGGCAGGACGGACACTCCTAGGTGGCTGATGGGATGCTTCTGGGATTAGAGCAGCCCCTCCCGACCCTACCCCACCATCCTTCCTGGGCTCTGAGGATGGCACCTGGTCCTGCTTTTGTTCCCTTCCATCTCTACCTTGCATTCTCACAGCCCTTCCTAAGTGAGGTTTAGGCAGGCTTTTCCCTCTTCCGTTCGGTGTTTGTGGATACACCTCACAACCCTGCACAATTCCCACCTTTTCCAGGCAGTCCTCCCAAACTGCTCTTACTTCCTGGATTGCTCCCTCTTGAACTTATTCTGCTGTTCCTGGGGCCTAGGCTACAGTTTAAGCTATGAGGAGGGAGGTGGAGGCTGTATCCAAGTCTCTGCTCTCACCTCTGGTGCTGGGCACTGTGGTGACACTTGCTGGTTCCAGGCCTGCTGTTTCCTGTGTGCACGCCACTGCCCATGGAGGGTGAGCTCTGCCATGACCCCGCCAGCCGGCTTCTTGACCTCATCACCTGGGAGCTAGAGCCCGATGGGGCATTGGACCGATGCCCGTGTGCCAGTGGCCTCCTCTGCCAGCCCCACAGGTGAGTCTCCACCAGCCCTCCCTATCAGCGTGTTAAGAATGGGTGAGATGCTGTTCAAGGGAAGGAGGGCTCAGGACCTAAACCAAATCTTCCTGGTCAGCGTATGGATTTAGCTTGTGAGGGGCCTTCAAGTTGACTACGACTCATAGCAACCCTATGAAGAATGAATCTGACCCCTGCCTTACCCTGTGCCATCCTCCCCATCTCTGACACTCGCTAGGCTGTTGTTACAGCCACTGTGTCAGTTTACCTCACTGATGGTCTTCTCCTCGTTTGCTGATCCTTGACCTTTCCAATCCAGTCCTGATGTCCCTCTCCAATAAAGAGCCTCTCCTAGCAACATGTCCAGAGTATGTGAGGCAAAGTTTAGTCATTTTTGCCTCTGGAGCACTCTGGTTGCACCTTCTCCAAGACATTTCTGTTTGTTCTTTTGTCTGTCCGTGAGATGTTTGATACTGTTCTCCAACACCACAGCTCAAAAGCACCAATTCTTCTGTCATCCTTATTCACTGTCCAGCTCTCAGTAGCATAGTAAGTGATAGAAAGTGGCGAAGGCCTGATTATCTGGGAGGCTGGGCACTGTGAGGACAAATGTGGCATCAGGATTGCAGGAACACTAATCAAGAATCTGTGTTATGCAGATGACAAAATCCTGCTTGCTAAAACTGAGGAGGACTGAAGCACTTGCTGCAGAAGGTCAGGCACTGCAGCCTTCAATATGATTGAAGCTCAATATCAAGAAAACAAGGATTCTCACCACTGGGCTGATTGGCAGCAACCTGATAGATGGTGAGGAGATTAAGACAGCTTTGGTTTACTTGGCTCCGCAATCGACACTCTTGGTACCAGCAGCCAGGAAATGAAAAGATGAATTGCATTGGAAAAGTCAGCTGTCAGGGACCTCTCCAGAATACTGAAAAGCAACAGTGTCAGTCTGGAGACTAAGATGTGCCTGATCTAGGCCATGGTCTTCACAATTACTTGCTATGCATCAGAGAGCTAGACAATGACTAGGGATGATAGAAGGAGAACTGATGCCTTTGAGCTGTGGTGCTAGAGAAGAATACTGAGTATACCATGGACTGCTAAGAGAACAGATTTGTCCTAGAGAAGGTGAAACTATGCTGCCACTTGGAGGCAAGGATTCTGAAGTCTGACATACTTTGGACATGTTGCAAGGAGGGACCAGTCCTTGGAGAGGGACATCATGCTTGGGAGAGTAGAGGGACAGCACAAGAAAGCAAGATCCTCAATGAGATGCATTGATTCAGTGACTGGGGTAATGGGGGTAGATATGTCGGAGACATAAGATTGGCACAGGATAGAGCAGGATTTAGGGCTGTTGTACACAGGGTCACACTATGTGTCACTTGTGACTCAATGGCACATAACAACAAGGTCTGGGAGTGGATGAGAGGGTACCGGAGGAGAAGGTATAAAAGGAGAGGACAGAAGAGGAGGTCTAAGAGCAGAGACCAGGCTTTGAATGACAAACAGAGGAAGGGGCTGGCAAAGGAGGCTAAGAAATAAAAATTACAGATCTAGAAGGAAATTGATGAAGGGAAGGCATGAATTTGGAGGGCAAAGGCATCACTCCAGGGCTACCTAGAGATTGCAGCAGTAAGACTTAGGAGTATCTGGTTTCCCAGGGCCAAGGGCCCTTCCTGGGCCTCTCAGGCCATAGAACACCCTTTCCTCAAGGCAGAATCCAAAGGGCAGGAAGATAGAAAGTCCCCTCCAATCCTGGGCAGAGGCCTGGAACTCTCAACACGGGCAGCTGACTTGGCAGTTAGGCTGTGCACCTGCTGCCAGGGGACCCAGATGGTTTGGGGGCTCAAAGGGCCGTGGTGCTGCTGAAGACCCTCAGACTCCTCAGCTTGAACCTGAGGATGGATGCCGAGCACGAGAGGGTCTTCTGCTCCAGGGAACTGCAGGTAGTGGGAAAGAGGGGGATCACCTGAGTCCATTCTCCAATAGTGAGTCTTCAGTATTGTTGTTTAAAGTAAAGCAAAGTAAAAGTTTAAAGTGAAGTAAAGGAGGCGATGTGAAACCCACAGAGCCAGTGGCAAAGGGCAGTGCTGTTGTTTCAGGCCTGGGCCTCATGCCCAGCTAATTCCGCACTCAGAACCCAGCTTTGTCCCCATCGGAAAGCATGGCCCTCAGATGAACCACAGCTCTGTCTCTCCCCAGCCACAGCCTGGTGTATGTGTGCAAGCCTGCCTTCGGCGGGAGCCCAGAGGAAGATGGAGTGAGCCTGCTGCCCAGAGAGGCCTTGGATGAGTATGAAGACGGCGGCTTCATCGAGGAAGTGCGCAAGGAGCTGGAGAGCCTGGAGAGGAACCTGTCAGAGGAAATGGCACCCCAGGGGCTGGAGGGAGCCTCTGAGCTGCTGGGTGGAGAGGAGATTTAGATCCATACCCGCTTTGCGGGTTGATGTGCAATAGAAATAGCTAATTTATTCCCCCAGGTGTGTGTCCTTTAGGTGTGGACTGACCAGGCTTTCTTCCCATTCCCTCTTCCCAGTAGATAGTCCCCTCTGGCTTGAAACGTCTGCCTTGACAAAACAAGGTGCTGTGCATTTGTCCACCGCTCTCCCTGCACCATCATGAATGATGCTGACACTTAGAGGATGACAGGGCTGTGGGAGAATGGGGGCAAAACGGACTCAAATCTAGTCCAAATCATTGGCCACTCTGCCTGCAATGGTTAGCAGAGGGCAAGTTTTCCTATCACTTTCAGGATTGTGTGAGGAAAGGGGGTAAAGAAGGATGTGGAGTCTTCCCTCTGTGGGTTTTGGGAAATGTTGACGCTTGTGCATGTGGAGAAGAGTGCCCCACTTTGCACATATACACATGGCAAACATCCAGTGAGTGAAATCTTCCTGTAACTCTCCCGTGGGCATTGCCCAGCTGTGCCCGCTGCCACTGCAGATGAAGTGTTCTGCTCACTCAGCCTTGCACGCACTTTTTCATTCACTCAGCAGTTTCACTGGGCTCCTACCTCATGGCATACAGTGTTTTCCTATCAGTTGACATGCTCGTCACGGCCTGGGGAGGGAGGCGTTAATCTCCCCATCAGTCAGGGATTTCAGAGGCTCATGACTTTGTTTCTTGCCTGAATCACACAGCTAGTGAAGACCAGGACGGGATGTCCCCCTGGGTGAAACACCAACTTTGTGCCACCAAAATTCCCCCTGAGAGAAGGGAGACAGAGATTTTCCTTGAGATGTTTCTGGGATGAAAGTCAAACTAGTTCATGCATCCCTATAAGATGAAACTTCTACTGTTAGAAATAGCAGTGTCTTGGGGAGCTCTGGTGGCCTAGTGGCAAGAAGCTGCACTGAAATCCCAGAGGAACACGGTTCAAATCCACCAGACGCTATGCTGGAGAAGGAGGCACAATATCCTCCTGTACCAGTCAGATCTGATTTGACGGTACACGCACACAAAAAAAAAAAAAAAAAGAAAAAGAAATAGCAGTGTCTTCACCATTGTGGAGATGGCCACTAGAATGTGAAGACAAATGGGGGTGGCCATTGTCCACTGTGACAGTTTCATCAGTCTCTCTGAGGGTATGAGCTTGGAGCAGGATGTATAAATGAACTTTCCAGGAACAGTACTTGAGTAAAGGGCCAGGGTTATAAATGAAATTTGCAAAATCATTTAGCAGCTGAAGATCATTAGTAATCACATGAAGAAAATAGAACCACACAAGGATCTGTGAAATATGGCTATAATATCCAAATCCAGGACACTGAAGTGTGCTGTTCCCAGATGTTATTTTCAGGTGCCATGGACTGTTTCCATCGTGTATTCATCCAGAGTTATTAAATGTTAAAGTTGCACATGATTGTATAAGCATGCTTTCTTTGGGTTTTAAATTATGTATAAACACATATGTTGCATTTAGAGATGGAGCATAAATCACTTCAATGACTCTTCTGTAGTTTTTGGACTTCTTTCTTCCTTTTGACTTTGAATCAGCATAAAACCTTTTAGAAAAACTAGAATGACTTGCATCGTCCAGAAAAAAAAAAGTCTCTTCCAAACAAATAAATTTTCTGGAAAACCAAAACACACTTATTTCAGCATCAAAATGGTGTAAAAATATTAACTACTTTGAATGAGAATTCGTTTTAAAGGTACAAGTGATGTTTTGTTTTGATTTCTGGAAATCAGTGCTGACCCTTTCCTTGGGAGCCTACTGTAATTAAAAGCAATCTGGGCCATAATACATTTAAGTCCTTCAAAGACTATCATTACAAAACTTGTCATTGTGCACCATTGAGTCAAACCTAACTCATCGCACATCCTCCAGTGGATTTTCAGAGGCAGTAAATTGCACGGGAGAAGATTTCCCATCATTCTTCAGAGGAGAAGCTGGTAGATTTGAACTGTGTGTCTTTAGGATCGCAGCACAGCTTCTTACCACTAGGCCACCAGAGTTTAGTACATCATAAAACTACTATCTATTAAAGGTTGACTGGCAAGTAACAGATTAGGCACTTTACCAAATTTGTCTCATTCAATATTCACTGAATTCCATGAGCATTTTCTCTAACAGATGAAGAAATAAAGGTTCAAAAAGATTAAGTGGTAAGAGCTGGAAGTCAAACAAAAGCAGCTAGTCTAGTCCTTCAAAGAGAAACTTTTTTTTTTTTTTGGCTGAGTACAGTGTACTTTATTGATGGTACATGACAAGATGGGCTCTCCAGGCCCCTCCCCTTTTGCAGGGGACTTTGATGGAAACTTGTGTCAAGGATGTGAGATTCTCAGTGTAGGGGAGGATCAGGTTGGGGCAAGGACTCCCCAGTAGCTGAGGATCTCTCTCTCTCTTCTAGTGCTATTGCTGGGGCTGGTGGTCTAAGGGGCTCTTACTCTTTGGAGGCCATGTGAACCATCAGGTTGACCACCTGGTTGCTGTAGCCAAGTTCATTGTCATAGCAGGAAATGAGTTTGACAAAGTGGTTCAGAGCAATGCCTGCCCCAGCATCAAAGGTGGAAGAATGGGGGTCACTATTGAAGTCAAGGAGACAACCTAGTCTTCAGTGTATCCCAGGATGCCCTTGAGGGGCCCTTCTGATGCCTGCTTTACTACTTTTTTTGATGTCTTCATATTTGGCAGCTTTCTCCAGAAGGCAGGTCAGGTCCACAACTGACATAATGGGGTTGGGGACGTGGAAAGCCATGCTGTTAAGTTTCCCATTCAGTTCAGGGATGACCTAGCCCACAGCCTTAGCAGTGCCAGTAGATGCAGGGATGATGTTCTGGGCAGCTCCACGGCCATCACGCCACAGCTTTCCAGAGGGGCCATCCACAGTCTTCTGGGTGGCAGTGATGGCATAGACTGTGGTCATGAGTCCCTCTACAATGCCGAAGTTGTCATGGATGACCTTGGCCAGGGAAGCCAAGCAGTTGGTGGTGCAGGAGGCATTGCTGACAATCTTGAGTTGTCATAGTTTTCATGGTCCACATCCATCACAAACATGGGGGCATCAGCAAAAGGAACAGAGATGATTACCCCTTTGGCCCCAGCCTTCTCCAAGGTTGTGAAGACACCAGTGGGCTCCACAACATACTCAGCACCAGCATTACCGCACTTGATGTTGGCGGGATCTCGCTCCTGGAAGATAATGATGGCTTTCTTATTGATGACCAGCTTCCCATTCTCAGCCTTGACAGTGCCGTTGAACTTGCCATGGGTGGAATCACATTGGAACAGATTGACCATGTAGCTGAGATCAATGAAGAGATCATTGATGGCGACAACATTCACTTTGCCAGAGTTAAAAACAGCTCTGGTGACCAGGCGCCCAATGAGGCCAAATCCATTTACTCCGACCTTCACCATCGTGTCTCAGGGATGCAGCTGAGGCTGCACGAGAAGAAAGGGCAATCTGGATCAACCAGGAGCAGAGAGCCGAGAAACTTTTTTTTTTTAAAAAAAAAGATTAAAGTTTAGAGACTTTGGGTTTCCAGTCATTCATCGTTGCACTTTTCTCCTTTCCCTAGAAACTATTTTTAAATAATTTCTTTCCTTTTTGTTGTTGCTACTGAGAATATGTACAGCAGAACATATGCAAGTAATCCATTTCTTGGTGCCAATTTTTTAAATAACATTTTTTATTTTAATTGTCATTTTAACAAAAGTTTACAGAAAAGTTAGATTTTCATTCATTCATTGTTGCACATTTTACCCCCTCTCTCTCCCTTCCCCCTCCCCAAGTTGACTTTTTTTTTATAGTAGTTTATTTACAAAATTCAAATACATTGTTTTCCAGAACAGATTTTTCAATTTCCCTCACCTCCCCCATCAAATTGTACAACCCCATAATTAATCCTTTATCCCCCTGCACATCCTCATCCCTCTGCTTTCTCTCTTCCCCCACTCCCCTTGGATCCTTATATTCATTCCGTGCCAATTCTTAACACTGATTACATACTTCAAGCTGTACAACCCATATTCAGCGTCCTTTTAGGATTTTCCCCCCTCTCCCTCATTAACAGAAATTCACAGTTCCCTAAGGTTTAAAAAAAAAATAATCTATCTTTTAAGTTACTGTTGTAAATATGATACCATCTTGACCTTGAAAGAAGGCAGTAGTGTTTCTTAGGGAGAATTCTTGACTTATTGTTGTGAGCCATTGAGTTGTAACTGACCCTTAGCTGACCCTCCAGTAGGTTTTCAGAGACAGTAAATTAGATGAGAGGAGATTACTCATCCTTCTCCCATGGAGCAACTGGTGGATTTGAACCATGTGCCTTTTAGGATTGTAGTGCAGCTTCTTACCACTAGGCTACCAGAGCTCCTAAACTAATAGTGAAGCTGAATTGTTGTTTAGAATTAAAAAGACTACAGGGGATATTTTTGGTTTGAGGTTTAAAGATTATCTCAGGAACATAATGCGGTGTCAGAACATCTAGATTCCATAAGAATTTGAAATTGTGCCTTGCCTTTTCTCCCATTTGATCAAAGTTATTTTCTAGACTCTTTAATCAGAATATTCACTACTGGTGACTGGGCACCATTCAATGCTCGTCTCATGACAAAGAAGCTAATTGTTTCTGGAGGCAATTAGTTTCATATTCCATTACCTTCTATTATTGACTTTCTTCCTCTGTTCCTCCAGACAAGTAAAGACCAATAGTTGCTTGAATGGCTATTTTACAAATTTTAAGACCCCAGACACTACTCAGAGAGGTAAGAGAAAGAAGAGAAGCCCTAACTATGATATTAGGCCAGTTAACTGGATATTCTGCTTATTTTAAGATCAGATACAGAACTGTTCTCCCCCAAGTGTCATAAATTACCTGTCCCCTTACATCATTGCTTCACTCGGCAGATAAATATTGTGAACCCGCTCAGACCAAGTGCTGTGATGGGCTCTGGTAGTTTAAAGTTTTCCAGATACAGGCTTCATTGCCACACAGTGGAGATGCAGTCAAACCAAGCAGTGCCAAAGCAAAAGGGCTCAACCCAATATCAGAGCAGAAAGTATAGGAGCCTCAAAGGAACAAGTAACTTGAGAGAGCTTGGATGTGAACT